TCTGTAGCTAAAAATGTTTAAAGGAGTACTCTTTCTCTTCATAAAATACCTTTTATTTTCATTAGAACCCCTCAAATAAAATTAATCTAGACTTGTAAACAATTATTGACACCCAACAGTTATTTTCAGTATTTTTATTCTTGCTATTTCTGCAAATAAGCTTTGGTGTAGCACTTGGTATTTTACAAAGTGCTATTAAAACACCCGATTTATTACATGTTATAGAAGGAAAGAGGAAATGTAGGGATTCACAGCAACTACTTTCCTTGAAGATGGTGGCATATGGTATCACGATATTCTCCACGAAATTTAACTGTCCCTAACCATAAATTCCAAGATAGATCAATATAATTTTAGTGCATTTCTCCTCATCAGGAATGTTGGAGGTGCATTTTAAGTTTTAATAATAAATGCTAGAATGACCAAATTGCAGACTAATTGTTTCCTTATTGTACTTCAAATGAGTTTTTAAAACAACAAAACAAGGGATGACTATATACAATCAAAGCTATTTATTGTACCTCTGGGCCTACTCTTCTAAAAATTGTAGCTTATAAATTTTTCGCTGTCAAGCTTGATCTCATGTAAATAATTGAAATAATGTAAAGTTATATTTTCATGTTTTTATAGATACAACATGACAAGAATACATAATGTAAGAGTATTGCAACTATGGATAGTGTTGATCGGATAATGCACATCTCAGTTACAAGCAGTAATCATAGTTTAATATCCGTGTAACGGTGCATCAGTATATTGCTATATAAACATGTCTGTGTGCATATAAGTGAAAAGTGGTCAAGCAAGAATGATGACAGCTGTCTAAAGGTTTTTTTATTCATTTTATATAAAAACTGTTATGGAAAGACCAAAATGTTTATGAACTATTCTTATGTATATTTACAACTGTCTTCAATTGTACGTTTTTGTTTACAGTATAGTACCTTATTTTCTGCCGTGTTAAGTGGGTGTCAGAAATCCAAGGAGACATACACTTTCTACAACTTCTATTGAAGATATTGGGATTTCCAATTTTTTCATGTGTACTATGTCAGAAAATGCTTTTGATTTTATTTTTAAATCTAACATCGGATGGCTTTTTCGGAGTGTTGTAAAAACTTCAATCATACATAAAACATGTTCTTACAAAAGGCAAAGATCTTTATTTTATTTTTTTACTTAATAGTCCTTCAAACTAATAATAACGAGGAACCAAAAAACATATTTAACTGTATTCTCAAACAAACTCAACTGTTTCTACTAAAAGAGGACATCTTTGCTCAGTTTATGTAAGTCGTCTAGGTACAAATGTAACCGAGCAGAAATATGTATACATACATACTGGCCCAGTGGTTAAGAGCTCAGCTGCTAACCAAAAGGTAGGCAGTTCAGATCCACCAGATGCTCCTTGGAAACCCTATGAAACAGTTCTACTCTGTCCTATAGGGTCACTGCTAGTTGGAATTGAATTGACAGCAACAGGTTGGTTTTGGTTTATATACTAATGCACATATATTAGTAAAAACGATGAACAATTCCAAACCTACCAATTATTAAGTGTTTCGGTCATATGTATAAATCTGACTGTTAGTCACCTGACTCGTGTGGATGATAGGTATACTCTGCTGCTAAATATCAGGCGTTACTCTCTTCGGTCATTGCTCTGTATGTCCCATTGCTGTTCTAATCGTATGGAAGAACAGAACGGTGACATGCTTTAAAAATTCCACATTTCCAGGCTTACATGTCTCAAAAAAAATGTGTTCATTTCTTGTTTTACTGATAGAGTTTACTAATCAGAAACTAAAACTCTTGGCCATTTTGATTAAGTATTTTTACAAAAGCAATCATTTCATATTTAGGCAATTCTAATGTAAGTATATGCTAAAATATTAAGACATTTGAGCCCTTCAAAATTGCACATTAAAACATTGTTTAAATTATTTTTTTGAATTTTAAGATAATATTTAATAGATAAGTATACCATTGCATCTGCTCAAAAGAAGTTATCTTGACTTTCTAGTCTGCACATACTCTAAATATTTTGGTGGCCATGAATAAATTGAGCAAATGCAGAAAAGCATTAACAATATAATAACTCTATCGGATGATTTCAATACAACTTGGCAATACCATTTTAAAAAATATTGCAATTAATTATAATATAATAGTCTTGTTTATCCTTTATCCTCCATTCCCTATCTCATCATATACTAGAAGTGCCAGTTTAGTTAATTTAAACTAATAACTCAGGTATCATCTCTAGCTTGAAAAATATTTCTGGGTATCTAAACTTGTTTTCTGCTGGATGGAGTTGATTATGTATTACTTGTTTACAACCCATTAGGCTGTCAGGTAGAATCAAGTATAGTCCAGGCAAATATTCCTCTTTCCTTAATTCAAATTAAATAAGTAGGTGCTTCGACTGAATTTGTTGCATAAGTTCTCTATATTATCAATTTTAATTTATTATTTATAGATTTGATTAATGTAAATAATATACTAGGATGTCCGGAGGGCTTATTTGTTAAGTTTTACAAATTTTAAATGAACTCTAAACAAGTATCAAAGGAAATCTCAGAATGATACAACCATCTTTTTAAAAGAAGAGTAAAGTTTATACAGGAAGTTTTAATACTTAAAGTTTATTTATTTTTAATCACCAGCATGAAAGATGGGTAAGTATAGCTGAATCATCATAATATTCTGAATGAGAATTTGAGGATAGATTTATGTGGTTTGTGAAGAGTTGTGACAATCAAAACAAAAAAAGGTTTTTTCATTCTTTTAACATATTATTTTAGCTAATGTATGACACTGAAAATTCTATTAGGTACTAAGCAGTAAATTATACTTTCTTTCTATGCTTTTATTTATCTTATGCTTGGAATAAAACAACACACCTTATAAACAGCATCTGGCACTCTAACTGCATGAAAGCTCAGACATACTTACATAAATATGATGGTATCCAACCACAGAGACTAACACAAATGCCCTATGAGCCAATGAAATCAGGAATATGTCTAAATATGGATCATAACAATTCACGTGTGATTTTATATCCTGTCTCTATTCATTTCTTCCTTACATTACAGCCTGACTTTCTCTTTTCCTGCCCTTAAGTACAACTGCCATGTTTTATATATTACACTTCAAATGGTATCTCGTTTTTCACTTTCATTCATCTGGCAGTTTGCTTTTTTTCATCTTATCCCATCCATTTCTGGCTTGTCATTCCTGAGAGTTTTTGCTTTGAGGGCACTTGGAACGCAGTTCATTTTGGCAAAGACAGGACTGACAGTTTCAGAGTCTTCTTAATAACTCTAATAAATGACTAAGAATTCTGGAGTAAAATAAGAATTCCCCGCTCAGCTCTATTTCAGCATCACTCCCAAGTCCTGACCCAGTCATTGCGAATGTGTCATGCTCCTCTATGTGCTTAACAGCCGCACAATTTATAGTGTTTCTGCAGGAAATGGGAGGCACTGCAAGGAGGCAGCGAATTGAGAATTCTATTTGTAATATGTTTGCTCATCAGAATTCCTGTCTAAAGCCCCTTTACAATGAGCATAAGTCAGTTCTCTCTTTTCATGTGACTTTCAGAACTGGAAGATTCTTTACTTGCCTTTGCCCCAGGAGGTACACCTTGATTTTACTATTTCAGAGCCTCACTCCTCTTTGGATACATGTAAACTCACGATTACTTCGTGAAGTACACCTGAATGCACTGGATGAATTTGGTCATTTTCCTTTCTTTTTTTTCCCTTTCAGGTTAATGTGCCAATTTCCTTTTACTGTAAATTGGAGTGTGGGGAAGTAGATTAAGCCCTTGGGGGGGAGTGGAAACCAGGATTCTAGATAATCTCCCCCCTTGAGTTCCTTTTCACTCCTCCCTTTTTCTCTGTCTCCTCAACCGGAGTATGTGGAATACTAGGACTGGTCTCGCAGACATGATGAGAGGAGATTTAATATGATTATTCAAAACACAATTCAACATTGTCTCTTTTTAACATAATGATGTGAAGAAATGAGGTCATGCTTTGGAATGCAACTTGGTGCAGAAAAAAGTTTTTGGTATTCAGTTCAAAACTGGTTCCATCATCTCAAAACATTAGAAAAGCAGTTCTATGCAGTAATTTGTATTCATTGAGTAATTTATTCATTTAGTCTATCAAATAAATATCCAGTGAATGTACTCTTGAATAAATATATACAGGAGGTAAAAGCTAAATTTAAAATCTCTATTCTGAGAATTAATTATTCTATTTTCTTTAAAGCATGCAATTCTTTGATTCCATTTACTTAGAAATAATATTAGAAGTATTTGGATTACTATGTGACAAGTAAGAGTTATATATTTCTGACCAATAATTTTTAACTCAAGTTATTAAAACTTCAATTTAGAAGAGATGTTTGATTACATTCATTAACAATCTTAAATATGGATTCATATTTTCCTCTCTCAAAAAAATCTTAGGTTGTGTAAATTCTGTTCTCCCATAACTTTGTCATTCAATCAATAGTTCTATCTCTATTTTGAAAGTCAAATGAGGTTTATTAATAAATACCACAGTTTGGTAATTCAAGATTGCTGACATGTCCGTGGCTTAACATGTATCTATAATCTATCTTTTTGGATAGGATTTATTCAAATAACATTCAACATATTTTTGGTCAACAACCAAACAGCATCTTATATTTTAACTGCAAAAATAATTAAAGAAAAAGAATCAAGCTGATAATTTATCAACTATGAAAACCTAACAATTAAGAGTTTATTCATGGAAACACTTTAAATGAATCCCAGTACTTGTCATGATTGATTTGATATATTTACACATTTACATTAAATCTCACCTAAAGTCAATGAGAATATGTTATTTCAGATGGAAAGAATTTTGGGAAAAATTACATTTTGTTGGATTTCCTAAGTAAAAGGAAACATAGTTTACATTTAGGAACTTACATATTATAACCATGATATTTTAATTATTATCATTCACTATATTGCTGATATGAATAGGCAAGGAGTCCATTTGTTGAGAATCAGTCAACTGTAAACTGATTGTTGCATGATTTCTATTTATTTCTTTTTTATTTGACTATTTATAATGCAATCTAGAGGTTTTTCATGTAAAAATCACTTTTTCCTCTCAGTATCTCGTTATGGTCCAGAATTTTACAATACTAAAAATCTGTGCTAATTGAAATTTTATGATTTAACCTATTGGGTATATACGAATCATATCTGGAAACATTTTTGTGTAAATAGTCACTCACAGATTTAAAAGGAAATGACGTCATGAAAATAATTTGCATTGTTTCTGAAATAATTATGTAGAAAATGGAGATCTGTAGAATCTGTAATCTCATGAAGTATATACTCTTGCATTGGCCATCCCTCCCCTGCACCACCAAATTAGATTTTGTCTGTCTGGTTATCTCAACTGATTAGAGAACAATTTAACCGAAGTCTAACTCATGTAAAAGTGAAGTTTACATGATTATGGGATCATAGACAACGTATCAATCTTTGCACATCCTTTCTGCAAATATGTGCCTTAGTTTTCAGTGAGGTTTAATGTGGATGATCAGTGTGAAGCTGTCATCTTTATTTGGAGTTCTTTTTAAATTAAAATGCATCCTCGGATTTATAACTACATTTAGTCTGTATCTTAAAAGCCTTTCAAGTCTGTTTTATGTGCATTATCTTGTCAGCTGTTCGTGTCAAAGAGATAAACATGTCTTTGTTCATTTTTATTTAATGTTGTTTGTCTTTCTGTCGTGTGTATGTTCACCTGTGTATTAAAAAAATTCTACATCTTTGTAGCATTTTATTCTGAAAATTATTTATGACATTTTTAACACACTATAAATATCAACTTCTGAGTTCTTGAACTTAAAAATATTAAATGGATTTATGACTTCCATAATCCATAATAAATCCATTTAATATTTTTATGGATTATTAAATATTAAAAAATTGCCAAGGAGATTGGAAAGGGATTTTTCAAAAAAATAAATAAATAAAGCAACTACTTAAGTAGGACATATAAGACATGGAAGGACATGGAAGGATATAAGAGTCCAAGTACATAAACTCAAGCCACAAGTTGTGCCTGGCTGATTTAATTTGAAAGATGTATTAAAGTAT